TTTTTCAATTTCAATTGTAAAATTTTTCAATTTCGGATTTTTCAGTTTTTGTTTTTCTCAATTTTTCGATTTGTAATCTTTCTTTTTCAGTTTTAGATGTTTCAGTTTCTCGATTTTTTCAGTTTTTCATTTAATAAGATTAATAATAATTTTACAATTTTGATTGATCCTATAATTTTCCAATTTTTCGACTTTTAAAGTTGTCGATTTTTAGTTTTCCAATATTTCAAATTTTTGTTCCCTCAGTTCTTTGATGTACAAAATTTCGATTTTCCATTTTTTCGATTTTGCAATGCTTCATTTTATCGATTTTACAATTTTTTCCGATTTTTTAGTTTTTCGATTTTTTATTTTTCGACTTTTCGAAAAAAGAAAATTAAACAATTCTAAAAGTGTAAAACTGAAAATTTGAAAATGTAAAAATGAAAAATATAAAACGAAAACTAAAAATGCACAAATTTGAAATCAAGGGCTTGAAATTTTGAAGAAACGAAAAATTGTCAAATCGGAAGATTAAAAATTGAGAAACATAGACACTGAATAAGTGCAAAATCGATATATCGAAAAAAATTGAAAAATGTAACTGGAAAATGAGGAATTGAGAAATCAAAGATTGACCATTTTAAAAATTTAAAAAACGAAAAATTATAAAATCGAAAGAAACATTGAGAAAATAAAGGAAATGAAAAGACGAAAAATTGTAATATAAAAATGGGAAAAATTTAGGAAACGAAAAATTTTTATTTCGAAAAATTAAAAACTAAGAAACCGAAAAATCGAATAATGAAAAAATGTAATATCGGAAAATTGCAAAATTAAAAAAATACAAATCGAAAAAGAAAAACATTTGAAAGTCGAACAATTGAAAAATTGAAAAAATTAAAGTTGAAAAACGAAAAATTATGAAACCGAAACTTTGAAAAATGGGAAAACTAAAAAATAAATAAATTCGTCGAAGATAAATCCAGATTTTTTCTTTGTTTTTTCATTTTTTAGATTTGCAATTTTTCGAGGAATTCCAATTTTCCAACTTTAAATCTTTCAGTTTTTGGACGTTGCAATTTTTCGATTTGAGTTCCTCGAGTTTTCAATTTTTAATTTTTCAATTTATCGATCTGCAATTTTTTGGTTGCTTTTTATTTTCGTTATTATTTCAATTAGGTATTCGAATTTTTAATGTTTCAATTCCATTAAATTTTGTTTTTCCATTTTAATTTTTTCACTTTTTCGTTTCATTGACTTCAATTTTTTTTTTTCAGTTTTTCAATTTGCAATTTTTCGAGTTGAGTTTCTCGAGTTTTCAATTTATAATTTTTCAAATTTTCGATTTACAATTTTTTCGATTCCATCTTTTGTTTTCCTTATTTTTTCAATTATTCGATTTTTCAATGTTTAGATTTTATAAATTTTTGTTTTTCTAATATTTATTTTTTCACTTTTTCGTTTCTTCAATTTTTCGATTTGTAATTTTTCAATTTTTCATTCTCCGGTTTTTTGAAAATTATGATATGCACCTCTTAAAGTTTTCATTTTTAAATTTTTAAATTTTTCGGTTTTTCAACTTTCGGATGTTTCAATTTTTAGATTTGCAATTTTTCGAGTTTTTAAGGCTTAAATTTTTCAGTCTTTCAATTTTCCAACTTTGCATCATTCAATTTTTAGATTTAAATTTCTCGTTTTTTCATTTTTTCATTTTTCAATTTTTCATTTCGGTTTTTTATTTTTCTTATTTTTGCAATTATTCGATTTTTCAAGGTTTAGATTTCATAAATTTTTGTCTTTCCAATTTTTATTTTTTCACTTTTTCGTGTCTCCAATTTTTCGATTTGTGATTTTTCAGTTTTTGGTTTTTCAGTTTTTTGAAAATTATAATATGCAACTCTTAAAGTTTTAGTTTTTAAATTGTTCGTTATTTCAATTTTTCATGTCTTCAATTTTTCGATTTACAATTTTTTGTTTGTGAAATTTTTCGATTTTGGATTTTTCAATTTCTGATTTTTTTCAATTTTTCGATTTGCAATTTTTTTTTACAATTTTAGATTTTTCAGTTTCGCGATTTTTCAGTTTATCATTGATTTGCATTTTTCTAGTTGTCATTTTAAATATGTAATAATAATTATAATTTTTAAAATTTCTCTCTTTTTCAATTTTACTATTTTAGAATTTTTCTATTTTTCAATTTCTGGATTGTTTAACTTTTCGATTTTTAACTTTTCGACTTTTGGGATCTTTCAGTGTAACAATTTTTCAATTTGACAGTTTTGATTAATTTTATAATTTTCCGATTTTGCAATTTTTAAATTTTCAATTTTTCGATTCAATTCGTTTTTTCTTCTTTCGAATTTTTCGGTTTTAAGGTTCTCAATTTTTACTTTTCCAATATTTTAAATTTTCATTCCTTCAGTTCTTTGATTTGCAATAATTCGATGTTACATTTTTTCGATTTCGCAATTTTTCATTTTTTCAGTTTTCAATTTTTCAATTTTTTCAGATTTTTTAGTTTTTCGGTTTTTTATTTTTCGACTTTTCGAAAAAATTAGAAAAGTGTAAAACAGACAACTTAAAAATGAAAAAATCAAAACGTATAAAATAAAAACTAAAAATATACAAATTTGAATACTTACTCACTCACTGACTGACGAAAAATTGTCAAACTGAATTTGAATTTGAAAATATAAAATTGGGAAAATGAAAAATATAAATCAAGAAGTTGAAAAATTCAGGAAACGAAAGATTTAAAAGTCGAAAAATTAAAAACTGAGAAAAATTATGAAACCAAAACTTTGAAAAATGGGAAAACTAAAAAATTTAAATTGTGACTGTCTGTCGTCTGTGTTAGTGATATTTATTAGACATATAATCTCCGAAACTACCGAACTGATTGTCCTCAAATTTTACATCTATGTAACGAATGTCGTGCATTTTGTACAAAAAGAACCTTCAAGTGAAATCCTTTACTTTGAAGATTCACAACAAATTTCCCTGCAATCTTTTAACGACAAAGCAAATATTGAAGCAGACAGATAATAAACAAAAAATAAAAAACTCCGAGTTAAAAAAATTATATCTTATCCAATTCGTAAAGTCGACGTATAAAAAAATGTTCGCCTTTTCCTTTTTTTTCTTCCTTATCCCAGAATTTTTTTTGTGTGTTCCTGTTGACACAAGTTCACATTCTGCCACATGCCACAACAACAAAATGGCAAAAGAAGAAATCCCAAACTATTACTGGCGAGAATACGGTGGAAAAATTCCTGCAGATGCAATCCCTGGTGGCCGAGACATCAACGGAGACAACGTCTACATCGGACAAGCTTATATGCAAAACAGGGGTTTATTCATAGGCCAAATTAAACCTGGATCGACCGAAGTGTTCATTACAAATCACGGAGTCACAAAAGTTGACAAATACATTAAAGTGAGTAGAACACAACAAGAGTTAAAATAACTAAATTGTGGACAGATTCTTTGTGGTTTTCCACCGGAAAGCTTCGTGTGGCTTCCAACCAATGCCACTATTCTTCATCTGACGCTCTTAAACAAGCACAGCATAATCGCAGGCCACGAAGATGGATACGGTACCATGAATATCGGAAAAATTAAGACTTTCGTGGTCGGAAATGCATATTTTCACTGGCCCGATGTTCGAGGTGAAGATCCTGGAGTGAAGGATTACGAAGTTTTGGTTTACGAAGAACCGAAAATATAAGTGTTCATAAAATAGATATTTTTTAATTTTATAGAAGTGAATCAAAATAAAAAATTCATGATACTAAAAACGTGCCTAAAAATTACATTCGACGTATACGCAAACCTAACAAAATTGTGCACAGCCAGCAAGTCAAACAAATTGACACTCCTGCGGTAAAACTCATTAACACCAGCACTACACTTGACATCAAATTAGGTGATTCAAGCCTGCGACCCAGCCGAAATCACTATTACCATAACAGCATTATTCCTAACTACATTCCAACTCTAACAAACAAATTTCGGTAGCTTTTATCATCTGCGACCCCATAACTTCAGTTCTAAGCATTTAAACCCTTGAGCATAACAGTTTATACGCACCTAACATAATCACCATCTAAATATTCTCCTGTGTAATACTAATAACACGAGCGTTACGTTCATCGAATGAAATTTAAGTCGACAGGTAAAAATCGGTTGGGACACGTTTAGGCCATTCTGCATCTGTTATACACCTGGCCCTGGTCTTATACGGCAGCGCACCTTGTTTTGAGGCCGCATTACACAAAAAGTATTGTTCGGTTTTTCTAATTAAATTTGGGTAATTCAAGCTCGCCAAGTCCATACTTGAGGGTTGTAATGCGATATTTGTTGCTGAAAGTGGGTGAAATGAGTGAGAATTTGCAAGCACAGGGTGAGAGGGTGAGAGTGTGAGAGTGCACGTGGGGGTGTGTTTGCACATGTTATGGAGGGTGGGTTTGATTCGACCCACCATCTATCTAACAGCAGACAGTTGGCACGGGGTGCACACCTTCGGAGCGATAGGGATTTCCCGTGTTTGCCATCTGCATGTAGGCGCTGCTTCAACAGGGGAGTTTTACGTAAAAGCTCGCTCGAATGACGGACTGATTATATACAAAAACTTCAAAAAGAATTTGTTGGTGTAGCAAGATTTGATTTAAATTAATGGATTACAATAAATTGTTATTGTTATTATTATTATTATTAATGTTGATATTATTATAAATATTTCTGCTGCGTGATAAAATAATCAATTAGATGTAATTTGTGTTACTAATGGTGACTGGTGATTGCTGTCTAATTTTATCAAGTGTGTTCTGAATTATAATAAGAGTAATTGATAATATCTTCTAAAAATACAGAATACTTTGAAAATTTATAAAAAAAAACGTCTTTCTCGTTTCGGTCTGTTTGTCCCTTGTCCCGCGTCTCTCTATTGAAATTCTTTTGAAAGAGTAATCCGACGTTATTTCAAAATTTTGCTGAATGAATTCACTGGGGAATTAATAATGGCATTTAAGAAAGCAAATTGGTGGATAAAACAGAGAAAGAATACAATAGATCGCTGGCTTGACGTTATAAAGTTCTATATAACAAAAGCCCAATTGCGAGTAAATTACATTGAAGGATTTGGAGCTGTCGAATTTATGGAAAACAATAACTGCACATTTTTTAGAAAATTACATATATGAAACATCATTTTTCAAAAAAAGAAAACAATAACGCATACAAGTAACAATAAAATTTATACAAATTTCTAAAATTTTTATAAAAATGTTATTAATCTTGTTTCTTTTTGTCTTTTTGTTTGGTTCTTTTCCTGCTTCAGGCAAAAAAGCTCTATAGACGTAATTTTCAACTTCGAGCACCAAGGGAAACATGAACAGTAAAGCATAATCTTGAGAGTACGTCCAAATGATACAGCGCTTTTTTTATACAGGATATCTCAACGAAATTAATGACAGAAGGAACATATTTCACGTTTAAACAAAAAATTACTAACCAAAGTTTTCTTGAATTTCTGGAAATACAGTAGATATTGTTGTTTTACAGTGCATTCAGCCATTCTTGATTGAGCAGCGAACGAGTGCACCTTGTTAGCAACAGCTAAAGCTAAAGTCATAGTTAACAGTGACTTTCAGGGGTAACAAGTGTGATTACGTGATAGTAAAAGCAGCACAAGAGAATATTTCGTAAAAAAAAAAAAACGCGAGTGCAACTGGTGAGACAAGAAAAACAACAAGGTTATGTCGAATGAGAAAAGGATTGAGAGTGATAAGATTGGTGACGTTTTTGCTGCCTGGCGAGAAAGAGCTGATAATGAGGGAAGTGACAGCAGAGGCGTACGCCGCACGAGAGAAGACGACTCGCCGCGCAAAGAGCCAGCAAAAACATTGAAAAGGAAGAAAGAGAACAAATAAAGCAAGGACAAGAGCCATTGATGGAAATGATGAAGCAACTAATGGAAGAAATGAAACAACTGAGAGAAGAAAATAGAGGGGTAAAAAAAGAATTGCAGACAATAAATGGAATACTGGAAAGAGAAAGAGAAAAATGGAAACAAAAGGAGAGAAGCTTCGAAGAAAGAATCAATAATTTAGAGAAGAAGGTGGAAATAAAAGAGAGGCAAGAAAGAAGAAACAATTTCATAATTACGGGTATGGAAATAAGGGAAAGAACAGATGCAAAAGAAGTAGAGGAATTTTTGAAAAAAGAAATTGAGGCAGAAGTAAAAGTGTTGGAAACAATAATTATAGGGAAAGAGGAAGCAAGAAAATACTGGTTAAGACGCTTTGGGAGGAAAAACAAGAGGTGATGAAAAATAAAAATAAACTGAGAGGAAAGAGAATATATATTGATAATGATTGGACAGTACAAGAGCAAAAAATTCAAAAAGGAATTAGGGAGATAGCTAAAGAGGAAAGAAAAAAAGGATACACAACAAGGGTGGGATATAAGAAGCTGGAAGTAGGGGACAAAATGTATATATGGAATGAAAATAAAGGAAAATTGGAAGAAAAATTTCTCAAATCAAGTCAGCACTAACTGAAGAAAGAAACACAAAGGGGAGGGGTAGTAATGATGGGACAAATAAAGACTTTAGGTTTAAGAATGTAGATTTTGTACATAATAGGGGAATGGGAAAGAAGAATGGGGAAGATAAAAGTGGTTTAAAATTACTCTTTTGGAATATTGCGGGTTTGAAAAAGAAAGATAACTTATTTTGGAACTACGTGAAAAATTTTGATTTTGTGGGACTAACAGAAACATGGATACTAGAGAGAGACTGGAACAAACTGAAAGACGTGTTGCCAAAGGAATTTCAGTGGAAATTGCAAGGGGCAAAAAAAGAAAAACGCAAGAGTAGAGCAAAAGGTGGAATCATAACAGGAGTGAAGAAAGATATAAAAGAAATAGGAGAGAGGGCAATAGAAATGGGAGGCCTAGTTGAAAGAAAATAAATAAAAAAAGATGGAGAATCTGCACAATATATAGTAGAGGAATGAGAAACACGAAACAAGAAATACAAGAAAAAATCGAAGAGTCCGAAGAAGAATTTCTATTGTTAGGAGGGGACTTTAATGCCAGAATAGGGAACAAAAGCAGGGAAAAAGACGGGGAAAAACACGAAAATCGAAAGATAAAGTAGAAAACAAAGACGGAAAATTGCTATGGGAATTAATTGAAGAAAGAGGTTGGGAACTCTTGAATGGGGTGAAGGAAGGGGACGAGGAAGAGGAATTTACCTGGATAGGTAAAAGAGGGGAATCGGTAATAGACTACGTAATAGTAAACGGATTAGCAGAAGAAGAGGTAGAAACATTCAAGATAGGAGAAAGAGTGGACTCCGATCACGTGCCACTAGAAGTAAAAGTGAGGGGCATAAGTAGAGGGAGCGGATGCTTAAGGAATGAAGTAGGAAAAGAGAAGAAGATATGGGTATGGAATGAAAAAGGAATTGAGCATTATAAAAAAAAAATGTTGGAAGTGGAATTTAAAGAAAAAGGAATTGAAAAGAAAATGGAAGGATTAAAAAGAGAAATTGAAAAAGCAGCCATAAGAAAAGAAATTGTAACGACAAATTCAGAAAAGAGAAACAGATGGTGGGATAGTAGATGCAGAGATTTAAAAACAGAAGCAAGGAAATGTTTACGAAGGTGGAAAAAGGGGAAAGGTGTAAAAGAAGAGTACTGGCAAGCAAAAAATAATTATAGAAAACGATGCAAAGAAAAGAAAGAAGAGATACAGCAAGAAGAAGAAGAAGAAAAAATTAAAGCCATAAGAACTGAGCAAGAGGTATGGCAGTATATAAATAAAGAACGGAAGAACAAAATCACGATTAGTGAAGACATACCTATAATACAGTGGAAGAAGCATTTTATAAAACTGTTGAATGGAAAGGAAGAGAGAATTGTAGTGCAAGATAGTAAAACCGGGATTGGTGGTAGAGAAAGGGAAGCGGAGATTCGAGTAGAGGAAGTAGCAAAACAATTAGGAAAACTGAAAAGGGGAAAAGCACCGGGGAGGGACGGGTTGGTAAACGAAGTGTGGATATTTGGGACGGATGGGATGATTGAAAGATTGAGCGAGTTAATGAATGATGTGTGGACGGGTAAAGGTTTTCCCAGGGGAATGGAGAGCAGGACAAATATGCCCAATTCATAAAAAGGGTAGTAAAGAAAAAGTAGAGAATTATCGGGAAATAACTCTTCTAAATACGGCATATAAACTGTACGCAATGGTGTTAAATGAAAGGTTGGCGACAGAGATGAACGAAAAGAGTATATTACCGGAAAGTCAAGCGGGATTTAGAAGAGGTAGAGGGGCTATGGACAATGTATATATCCTGCATCATCTAATAGAAAAAGAGTTGGTAAAGGAAAGAGGTCGGGTATATGCACTGTTTGTAGACCTAAAAGCCGCGTTTGATACGGTGGACAGAGAGTGTTTGTGGGAATGCATGGAAAGAAGAGGACTGAGTGAAAAGTTAATTGTAGCAGCAAGAGAGATTTATAGAGAGACAGTGACTAGTGTGAGAGTGCGAGGAATAGAAAGCGAAATGTTTTGGACGACGAAAGGATTGAGACAGGGATACCCATTAAGTCCCAGTCTGTTTGCTTGTTACATAAGCGATATCGAGGAAATGTTTAGAGGAGTACAAGCGGGAGGAATTGTGGTGGGGAGAGAAAAGGTATGGTGTTTGGCATTTGCATATGATTTGGTAATATTGGCGAAGGATGAATGTGGAATGAATGAGATGAAAAAAAATCTGCAAAGATACTTTAAAAGAAAGAAACTGGAGGTAAATATAGAAAAAACAAAAATGATGGTGTTTAGAAAAAAAAAGGAGAAAAGGGGAGGAAAAAGTGTGGCGTTGGGAAGATCGAATCATAGACACGGTAAAGGAGTTTAAATATTTAGGATTTAAGTTTACAACAACTAACACGGTAAAAGCACACATAAGACAAAGAAGGGTCAAAGCAATGCATATAAGTGAGAGAATATTTGGACATGACGTAAGAAGAAGGATGAAAATGTTTGATAGTTTAGTTAGGAGTGTATTAATGTATGGAATGGAGATATGAGAGATTGAAGCAGTACAAGAAAAATATTTGAGGTGGATGTTAGGGCTACGGAAAGAGACGCCAGGCTATATAGTAAGAGAAGAATGTAAACGAGAGAAACTAAGAGTATACACTGGGAAAAGAGCTGTAAAGTATGATGAAAGGTTGAAAGAAAGAGATGAATGTAGGGTATTGTATGAATGCTGGAAGGAAAAAAAAAGGAAGCAGGGAAAGAACATCACAAGGGTAGACAAGGATATTATGAAAGACTGGGATACGCATGGATGGAAATAGAGAGAAAGAGAGAAATGGGGGTGAGTATGAGAGAAGAGTTGTGTATGCGTGACAGAGACATAGATAAACAAGAGAGAAGAGCGAGTGTAAGTAATTCTAGGTACAATGCAGACTATAGAAAGATAATAACAGAAACAATACCAAAGTACCTAGACAGAGAAAGCGCGAAAGAAAAAAAATAATTGCGAGATTTAGGTGTGGAAATGAAGAGAGAAATAATAAGTTTTGGGTAAGCGAAGGTGAGAGAATGTGTAGGATGTGTGGAGAAGGGCGAGAGACGATAGAGCACATGCTCCATGACTGTGAGGAGAGCAAAGAAAGAGGGGAGAGTGTGACAGAGATATTGAATGAAGACGGAAGAGGGGTGGAATGGATGAAAGAAGTGGAGAGGACAAGAGTAAGGCTGGGGCAAGGGGGGATGGGGTAAAGGAAAGAAAAATTAGTTATTTAGTTTATAAAATGTATTTATTTGGTTTTTGTTAACTAGGGAAAAAAATTGTAGTGTCAAGAATCTTTTTAAGCCCGTAGGGTAAAAAAATAAACACTTGCTACAGTGTATTCAAATTGACAAGTTTGTTCCCACTAAAAATATGATGACGCCGTTTTAAAATTTGATTACGAAAAAACAGCACAACATACCCCTTCATATAATAGAATCTTTTTGTATTTTTAACATATTAAAGGGTTATTATCAAAACTATAAGAAAACTGAACTAATTTACTTGATTGTGCTTCAGAGGCAAGGCAAGTTAAAATAATTATTACTTCCCGGGCTACATAGTATTGTAGTAGGATCATGACCACTAATTTATTGTTACGAAATAAACGCATACGCCGCCCCGAAACGACGCCTATGGGTCTTCTAGCATGTATGTGTTTCTTCTCGTATGTAGTATGACTCCTCGGCCACGCGACGCGGCATTCATTAAATACCCAATTCGAGAAAGAGCTCGATCGCCGAAATATGGATTTAGATCGAGGCCACCTTCGGGAATTATTATTCAGTCAAGAAACCCAGTCCAGCGAGTGAGCGAATTCATCGAAGTGAACCACGAAGTTATTCTGTACATAATCGCTGTAATAGTTAGTCGTGTAATTCGAGTTATTAAGAAATAAATTGTTGAGTTTTACCCACGCCAATTTTAAGCACCCGTACAACGTAACAATATGAACAACTGACTGTCTGTCCGCAATCTCTCTATATGTCATCTGTCTCTCGTCTGGGAACAACCCTTGTCTTATTCTTGAATTTGAAAGAATCTCAGGGAACGTTTGTGATTTGTTTTTGAAATAATTTCACTGAAATTCAGATATCTCTGGTCTTGTTTTTAAAGTAATTGGAAAGAATGTCGGGAACTCTTTTGTTTTGTTTTTGAAGTAATTTGTGACTGGTATTTGAAACAGTTTGACAGAATCTCGGGGCCCTTTTTTGGTTTGTTTTAGAAGTAGTTTGAAAGAATCTTGGGGACCATTTGTATCTGGCTTTTGAAGTTGTTTGAAGAAATCTCAGGAGCCCCTTGTGTGTGGTCTGGTATTTGAAATAGTTGAAAAAGAATTTCCGGACCCCTTTTTGGTTTGATTTTGAAGTAGTTTGAAAGATTCTTGCAGACCCTGTGTCTGGTTTTTGAAGTAGTTTGAAAAAATCTCAGGAATCCCTTTTGTCTGATCTGATATTTGAAATAGTTTGAAAGAATGTCGGGGCCCCATTGTGTGAGGTTTTTGAAGTACTTTGAAAGAATCTCAGAAACCTCTTGTGTCTGATATTTGAAGTAGTTTGAAAGAATCTCGGCGCCCCTTTTGGTTTATTTTTGAAGTAATTTGAAAGAATCTCGTCAACCCCTTTTACCTGGTTTTTGATGCAATTTGAAAGAATCTTGGAGATCTTTGTTCTTGTGTTTGAACTAATTTGAAAAAATTTCTGGAACTCCTTGTATGTTCTTGAAGCAGTTTAAAAAAATTCGGGGTATCCCTTTTGATTTGTTTTTGAAGCAGTTTGAAAGAATCTTGGGCATCCCTTGACATGTTCTTGAAGTAATTTAAAAGAGTCTCAGAGACCGCTTGTGCGTGGCTTTTGAAGTAAGAATCTTGGGAATCCCTTGGCATGTTTTTGAAGTAATTTAAAAGAATATCAGAGACCGCTTGTGCGTGATTTTTGAAATAAGAATCTTGGGGATTCCTTGGCATGTTCTTGAAGTAATTTAAAAGAGTTTCAGAGACCGCTTGTGCGTAGTTTTTGAAGTAAGAATCTTGGGGATTCCTTGGCATGTTCTTGAAGTAATTTAAAAAAGTCTGAGAGACCACTTGTGCGTGGTTTTTGAAGTAAGAATCTTGGGGATTCTTGGCATGTTCTTGAAGTAATTTAAAAGAATATCAGAGAGCGCTTGTGCGTGGTTTTTGAAGTAAGAATCTTGGGATTCCTTGGCATGTTCTTGAAGTAATTTAAAAGAATATCAGAGACCGCTTGTGCGTGGTTTTTGAAGTAAGAATCTTGGGAATTCCTTGGCATGTTCTTGAAGTAATTTAAAAGAATATCAGAGACCGCTTGTGCGTTTTTTTTTTTGAAGTAAGAATCTTGGGGATTCCTTGGCATGTTCTTGAAGAATTTAAAAGAGTCTCAGAGACCACTTGTGCGTAGTTTTTGATAGAATCTCGGGAACCCCCTGTGTTTTGTTTTTGAAGTTGTTCGAAAGAATCTTGGGGAGCCCTTGCGTTTTGTTTTTGAAATAGTCTGAAAGAATCTCAGGAACACCTTGTGCCTGGTTTTTGAAGTAATTTGAAAGTATCTCAGGAATCCCTTGTGGTTTCTTTTTGAAGTAGTTTAAAAGAATCTTGGAGATCCCGTTTGATTGGTTTCTGAAATAGTCTGTAAGAATCTTGGGGATCCCTAAAGAAAAAATCTTGGAACCCCCTTTTGGTTGTTAAATAGTTTCAAAGAATGCCAGGAATCCCTTTTGTCTGGCCTGGTACCTATTTGAAATAATTTGAAAGAATTGCGGGGTCGCCTTGTGTATGGTTTTTGAAGTAATTTGAAAGAATTTTAGGAACTTCTTATATCTGGTATTTGAAGTAGTGTAAAAGAATTTCGACGCGCCTTTTGGTTTGTTTTTGAAGTAGTTTGAAAGAATCTCAGGAATCCCTTGTGTCTTGTATGGTATTTGAAATAGTTTAAAGGAATCGTAAAGTCGCCTTGTGCGCGATTTTTTAAGTAATTGGAATGAATCTCAGAAACCCCTTGTCTTTGGTATTTGAAGTAGTTTGAGAGAATTTGAGGACCACTTTTATTTATTTTTGAAGTAGTTTGAAAGAAACTTGGGATCCCTCGTCTTGTTTTTGAAGTAATATGAAAGAATCTCGGGGACCCCTTGTGTCTGGTTTTTGTAGTAATTTGAAAGAATCAAAGATCCCTTGTGTCGTTTTTGAAGTAATCTAAAATAATCTCGGAGACCCCTTTTGTTTTGTATTTGAAGTATTTGGGAAGAATCTTGGGGATTGGTTTCTAAAATAGTTTGTAAGAATCTTGAAATCCCTTGGCATGTTTTTGAAGTAATTTAAAAGAATCTCGGAGACCGCTTGTGTGTGGTTTTTGAAGTAAAGAAAGAATCTTCGAACCTCCTTTTGGTTTGTTTTTTAAATAGTTTCAAAGAATCTCAGGAATCCCTTGTGTCTAGCCTGATACCTATTTGAAATAGTTTGAAAAAACGTCTGGGCTCCTTTGGTTTGTTTTTGAAGTAATTTGAAAGAATCTCGGAGACCCGTTTTGTCTGGTCTTGAAATAGTTTGAACGGACCTCAAAACCCTTTGCATCTC